CTAGGAACATGCTGTGGAGCCCTGATCCTCCAAGTGAATAGTCCAGCTGCTCTTCTGGAGAAAGAGGCCATGTGGAGAGCCTTGGAACTCAGGTGCCACATGAAGATGACCACACAGGGGAGTGCTGAAACACCAAGTATGTTCAGGAAGAGTCCATTTTTGATGTTTCAGCTCCTAGAGCCCCCAGAGAAGTCGGTCCCATATACTGTGTGATTGCCGCTGCATGACAGGCCCCACAGGACCAGCACAACTACGCAGCCAAACCCAGTTGCCCACAGAACCACAGAGGTATCAAAACTTTTGTTTGAAGAGACTCCATTTTGGGGGGGTTTGTTATGCAGTAAAGGGTAACTGAGATCATCAAATGTTTACAATACTGTTGTGTTGAGATGTGACCCCCCAACAAAAACATGCAGCAGTCCTAAACCCCCACTGCCACGTGTTTCTCCTCAAGTCATATGTGGGACTTGAACCCTAAGGTGATGGCATTGGGAAGTGGGGCATTTGGGAGAGATTAAGTCCCAAGGCTCCATGGGCATGATTGGATCAGGGCCTCACAAAGGCAGGGTGATTCCTTAATGCCTTTCCACCTCTCTTTGGCCACTGGATGGTGCTTCTGAGGAATAGGCCTTTGCCATGCACCAAACCTGTTGCTGCCTTGGTCTTAGACCATCAGCCTCCAGAACTGTGAGCAATCAATTTTTTTTTGGGTACCGGGAATTGAACTCAGGGGTACTTGGCCCCTGAGTCACGTCCCTAGCCCTATTTTGTATTTTATTAGAACAGGGTCTCACTGAGTTGCTTAGCTTCTTGCTAATTGCTGAGGCTGGCTTTGAACTTGCTATCCTCCTGCCTCTGCCTCCAAAGACGCTGGGATTATAGGCATGCGTCACTGTGCCTGGCCGGCAAGCAATTTAAAAAAATTTTTTTTTTAGTTGTAGAGGACACAATATATTTTTATGTATTTATTTTTAAATTTTTATTGTGGTTTCTTTGTTGATTCATAAGATTTTTTAACATTTATTTTATTTATTTGTTTTTATGTAATACTGAGGATCGAACGCAGTGCCTCGCGCGTGCTAGGTGAGCCTTCTACCGCTGAGCCTTAGCTCCAGCCCCTGTATTTATTTATTTTTTATGTGGTGCTGAGGATTGAGCCCAGTGCCTCACACGTGTAAGGCAAATGCTTTACCACTGAATTACAGCCCCATCCCTCAATCAATTTTTATTATTTATGAACTACCCAGTCTTCAAGATTTTGTTATAGCAACACAAATAGACTGACACCCAGTATCTCAGAATATAACATTATTGGAAACACAGCCATTTCAGATGTCATTAATTGAGATGAGGTCATCCTGCAGTAGGACATGCCCTTATTCAAATATGGCAGGACTGGGGCTATAGCTCAATTGGTAGAGTGCTTGGTTTCCATGCACAAGATCCTTGGTTCAATCCCCAGCACCAAAAGGAAAAAAAGAAAGAAGTCAAATTTCGCTAGTGTCCTTATAGAGGAGAAAAATTTGGACACAGAGAAAAGAAACAGGAAGGAAATGGTACTCCTGTGTGTGTGGAGGGGTGGGGTGGGGATGGTGGTTACAGAGATTGCATCCAGAAGCCAAGGAACACCTGGGGCCACCAGATGCTGGGAGAGGCAGGAAGGACCCTGTGCTGGGATCTTAGGAAGAGCAAGGTCCGCTGATAGCTTGACAGACAGCTAGCCTCAGAGCAGTGAGTTGTGTAGGACACCCGTGAGTTTTATGGTCCCTCAGGAAACTAAGGCAGCTGTGACAGGGAACAGACAGACGTGAGCGGTGGAAATGAGGTTAAGGGAAAACCACAAACTGGGCCCACTGGGCTGCCCCCACATGTTTTTACCTGCAGCTCTGCCTGGTTTAAGTCCAGAGGATACGTTGCATTCCTCAGCAAACTACCCTTATCTGCTTGAGAAGTGTAGGCCTGAAACGCCATAACAGGAACTCAAGTTACCCTGAAGGGGTGAGGGGGTTGAACCCTTCACAGACCAGGTCCCAGAACGCAGGGAGATAAGGATATTCCCCCTAACCATAAGCTCTGTAAGAACAGGTTCCAATTAGAACTGGTCAGCATGGGCCAAAGTGACCTCAAGTGGTCATTGCAGTGGGCACTTTGAAAGCCTGATATCATTCTGTGGTCTGTCAAAAATCAAGAGGTGGACCCAGGCAGGAACCCCAATTAAGCTGGAGGGGAGGAGAGGACCCCTTCTCTCCTTGAGAGTGTTCTTTTCCCTGCTTTCCCATCCCTTCTAAAAACTCACGTCCGTTACTCTGAGTGACATGTCTAAAACCTTTCTGACTTACTTGCAAGAATTGGGGCTTAAAGAGGGGGTCTTGGCACTGCCTCAGCTTTGCCGTAGGCCTCTGCCCTGTGACAGCTGTGTGCATATGTGGAAAGTCAGCTTTGAAATGGACCTGAAGGCTTGTATCTGGATCATGAGGTGGTGCCTTTGAGGAAGGAGGCCCGCTGTGTCAGTTTGGCGTGGGACACAGCTGGTCTCTCTTTACCACTCTCTGCACTTTAGATAATTTTCCAAAACAAGGAACAGAACTTCAAGTGAGAAGATAAGAGGATCGAGCTACATGAGGACAGGGAGAGATGTGGACTCTGGTGACAGAATGACAGCAAGGAAGGCAGGGTGTGTGGGTCGATGGCATTACTGGGTTCGGAAACCAGTGAGTCACTAGTGGCCTTTGGTGGCAGCTTCCTTAGAGAGCTAGGCACAGAGGGAGGGCAAGGAGTGCAGGAGAAGGTGGTTGCTGGAAACATCAGGCCCTGGAAGGAAGGCGGCAGAGAGGAAAGATGTAGCTAGGGGGAGCAGCAGCAGCAAACACAAGACACCGCCCCAGCCCTGCCGTTGAAAGAATTTTCTGAAAGAAAAAAGATGAACAGGGAATTTCCGACTGGACTCCTTTCAGTGTCTCAGGGGCAGAGGCCCTGTGTAAAGAGAAATCAGTTCTGAACAAGCTCTGCAGACAGCTGTGGCTTGTGGGGCCCAGGCAAGCCTGCTGTGCTTCCTGCTGTATAACTCCCACTACTCCTGGACTCAGTTGTGCGGCTCCTCCAACCGGAGCTGGTAGGATTGGCAGTGGAAGAAACAGCCAGGCCCCCTTCTTCCTATCTGCTTCCCTCTGGGAGACTTAAACTGTTCCAGCGATTTCCTTCCCCAGCTGCGGCCTGGCTCTGCTTGGCTGAGAAAGTTCACCTGCATTTGAATACCGGTGCTACCAGATGGAGTCCCTGCAGATCCCAATTTGCAGCAAACCAACACAAACTGAAGAAGGCTGGATAGTGGGGTAGGAAATCCTCCACCTGTGGCAGGACATCAGGAACTGCTGGCAACGGGGTGGCTTTGGCTTATTTGAATACACAAAGCTGGTTCACTTTCTGTTCATCCTGAACCTCTGGGGAACAGGAGTATCAGAAAGCAAAACTCCTCAATGTTTGCTGTTAACCTGTTTCATAAATATTGAATTGACACATTTGGCTGGAAGAGGCAGTGGTAGAAGAATGAGCCGTGGCTGAGAAGACACAGGACTGGCACTAGGGAGTCCCCTTCCTCCAGTGTTCACCTCCACCCGGGTCCCAGGAACCCCAGTGAGCCTTCCCACTTTGCACCTTCCTCCACCTACTGAGGGAGGCGTTCTTAGGCAAAGGTCCTTCCTTTACAGAAAAAGGTGTGTGTGGGGACATCTTGTTCAGGGTCACATCAGCGTGCCAGTTGCCTGAGCCAAACTTCCCACTGGGTCCAAACGGGAGCATCGGGTTCTACCTTGGGCATTTTCTTTAAAAATAAATACTGAATCTTATGTGAGTAATAGCGAGTATTTTAAAAGCATTTCAAGGTTTCTCGTTTTAATAGTTTTTTTTTTTTAATTGTAGATGAACACAATACCTTTATTTACTTATTTTATGTGGTGCTGAAGATCGAACCCAGTGCAATGGAAGCACGCTACCCCTGAGCCTCAACCCCAGCCCAGGTGTCTCCACTTAACTCCAGGGCACTTCCCTATCTCGGGGGTTCCCCCACCGCCTTCCTGCCAGGTGTGTGGAGGGAGAGGTCTGTGGTGAATGGGAGCTTGCATCATTTAGCAGCCCAGGCTCAGCTCCCGAGAAGGCAGGAAGGGAAACCGGGACGCTCCCGGCCCCACCCGACAGAACAGGCTGCCTGCAGTACAACAGGCCCGGCTTCCCTACCTGCCCTCCAGTCCCGTCCTAAACGAGCCCGCCACACCAATTCATCCCGTGACCTGGCTCTGCTGAACCCTATAAAACTCGGACCCTGGTAGCCCGCCACCATTTTGTCCCCCGAAAACGGGCCCCTCCGTTGCTTAATAAAAGCGTGGTTGGTCAGTCCGGGTCTTTCCCGCTTGGGCTATTTTTGCTTTCAACTGCAACTGCCAAAGTCACATTTTCTTTCTCAGCTTTAAATAGCAACGACTCTCTACTTTTTAGATATAAAATAGCAAAAAGGATTCTTGCAAAAGTAAAAACAAAACGACACTAGAAGCACCCCTACCCGCACCCGTCCGCGCCCCCGCAGGCTCTGATCCACGGGCGGCGCTGGGATGGCCTTTCCGAGCCGGCTAACTTTTCCTAACGACCTTGATTGGAGGCCACTTTGGCGCACACGCAGCAAATCATCGCAAGCCGGGAGAAGGCCGGAGCGCGCTCGGAGGCAGGCTACTTAAGGCCGGCGGCGGGGAGCGTCCCCTCTCCAGCCCGGGACGTCGGCGTGGGCGTAGCCCGGGCCCCCAGCACCTAGACGCGGTGTGCGGGAGCGCGGAAGGCGCTTCCAGAACTCCCGTCTTCCGCCCGGGAGCAGCCCGCCTGGAGCTCGCGTCCTCCGACTCCTCCTGAGCTCCGCGGCCGCGGCCTCCCCGGGGCCAAGAGCAGCTGGGATCTCTGCGGAAGAGCCTCCGCCGGGGCGGGGTGAGGGCGGCCCGGGACCCGAGGGGCGGGCCGGCGCCCCACGTGCACGCAGGGCCGCTCCACAGCTCCTGCCCGCGCCAGGACGCCCTCTTTCCCTTTTGCGCTCTTGCGTGGTCACTGGGGGAAGGTCCGCGCGAGTTCGGGGTCCAGCGGTCCGAGGCTGGGCTGGCTCCCCAGCTGCGTCCTGCGCTCACCGGCGGACTGGACCAGGGGAGGGACGCAGGGCTCAGAAGGTGGCTTCTTGCGGGAAGATGAGGAAGCCCGACGGGAAAATCGTGCTTCTGGGGGACATGAACGTGGGCAAGACCTCGCTGCTGCAGAGGTACATGGAGCGGCGCTTCCCCGACACGGTCAGCACGGTGGGCGGCGCCTTCTACCTGAAGCAGTGGCGCTCCTTCAACATCTCCATCTGGGACACTGCAGGTGAGAGCCGGCGCCTCTCCGCCAGGTGGGCTCCGTTGGGGGCTGGGGACGCGGGACTTCCAGCCTTTTGGAAGCGTCCCAGCCATGTGCAAGGCCCGACCTCAGGTGGCAGAAGCCCTCTTCTCTGTTCTCACTCGTCCTCCTACGATGTTGGGGAAAATACCTGTTCGCCACTCTCAGGGAAAGCTCGCCGGCTCCAGGAGAACCTGGTGTCACTTAGGCCCAGCGGCGCTTAGCTTCCCGAGCTGCCTTCCTGGCCTGGCTGCTCACTGTAACCCCACACACTTTCTTGTATTTTCAGTTTTTAAGTACCCTCCGGAATACAAATTCACCTGATGCTCACAGTACCCTTGAGGGACAAGCGGCGCTGACATTATTAACCCCCCCCCCCCCCACGCGCGCGCGCACGCACACACACACACACACACACTTAACAGAAGAGGAAACTGAGGTGCAGAGCGCTGACCCTGCTGGGTTTGGTTAGGAGATAAGAAACAGAATTGGTCTCCTCTTCTGTAGTTCAGTTTATCCTCTGAGTTTGGAATGATTTTCTGTTGGAACATTTTAAAGATAGGTAGGGAATTATTTTTAGTGTGTGTAATAAGTGTGATTTGTTCAGAAATACAACTCAGATAGTTTGATTCAAGTTTTCAGTTCCACTTTATGAAATAACACTGGCAATTGTAGTGTTGTAATGGAATTTATTTCCTTCCCCTTGAAAAAGAACAAGATATGGTAAGTGAGAAAGTGAAGAAACTTGGAAATGGATGACACATTTCCAGCAAGTGTGAGGTTTTGGACTCTGAAACTTTAAAGTTCTGACTTCTTTTATGTCAGCACTTTAAAAAGTGATATACCCAAAGGTCTTGTCCAGAATTTCTAAATTGCTATCTTGGGTGCATGAATCTGCTGAATACACAAGATCATAGCAAATTCTCTGTTTAAAACTGAATTAATGAAGTTCTCTGGTGAACTTCCACCACTTCCTCCTCCCTCTTGCTGTCTTTGATGGTGTCTTGTTTTTATGGTGGTGAATGTATGGACTAATTTATTTGTAGTCCTCTTGGGGAAACTGTTACCCAGGGGAACACATGCCATCCCCTGACTTTTCTCCAGCTCTGACCCCACTCAGGCTGAGGGCAGGGTTTCTCTAAGATCTTTTTCTCCAGCTGACTGCCTCGCGTTGAGCATTTGGTGACATTGAGTGTTTGGTGACAGTGCTAGCACCAATACACACTCTGGAAGTTAAGTTGAATCAGAGTTCCAGTACGTGTCTGCCAGTCTCCTACAGCACTTCACCCCTTTGTGTCTTTTATTGATTGGGGGACTTCCCTGCCATCCTAGGTGTGGCACTAGGGGCCCCCACTGAGAGCAGGCTCTGAGTTGTGGTGATAGATGGGGCTCAGGTGGTGGAGGGCATGAAGTAGCAGTTTCACTTTGGCCACTTTCTTCATCAGTGCCAAGAACATGGTGCATCCGGGATATTAGTCACCAGAGGATTTGTAATACTGCTGATGTGATGTCCTAGGTATCTTGCTGGGTCCTGGGGGTGGCGACTCACTTCCTGGCTGCCTTGGTGGCTGCCTCCTGTTCCTGGAACCCTAAGTGGGAGCTCAGATGGGCTCCACAGAACACAGGGTGGAGGGGGCTCTTCTCCACATTCCTGAACTCACACCCGGGGCGACCAAAGTCCAGAGTCAGCAGTGACCCAGGTCACCTCTGTTCCTGCCTCCTCAATGACTGACTGAGATTATGGAGCACTTGGAGGGAAAAGAGACATAGGAATAGATGTCTTTTCAGAATTTCAGAAAACCCAGAAGTCTAGCCTTTAATGGGCTTGCTGTTTTTTTTTTCTGTCTTTTTTTCTAGTTCCTAAGTTTTCTTTCCACTCCACACATTGTTGTTTCAGTGTAATTTTCATGTCGGAGGCAGAAGAGGACAAACTGGGTGATGAACCAGCAGTTTAAGCTGCTTTTAGTGGGGTGTGGGTGCAGGTGTGTGGTGGCCTGTGACAGGAAGAACATGCACAGGGTCGGCTGTTTTACCCTTGGCACATGTTTTCAAACATACAAGATTTAGGACCTGGCTGCATGGCCTGCAGGGTGGGTAGAGGGTGGAGCAGGACATGAGAGAGGGGATTTGCTGGCCCGTTAAGTATTGTATCTTATTCAGTTGACACAGAATTCTTCAGAGGCAGGACCGACTGTGTGTATGGGGGTGCATAAAAGATGGGGAGTGGGAGCAGGAGGAAGGTGAGCAGCTCGGACCTTGTCTGAGTCCAGCCCTTCTCCTTCCATTTATGCCCTGGTCACTCCCAGCCCTTGTCTGAGTGGGTACACAGATTGGGGTCCTCTCTCTTGTGGTTTGATTAGTCTGGAACACAAAAGGAGGTTGCCCCAAGAGGGGACAGCCCGAGGGGAATATCCCCCAGCCTCTTCTTTGCCACTGGGTTGGTCAGAACGTCCACTGATGTTGCCCATCATCAGCAGATACAGACTGGGCTTCTGCCGCAGCTGTTAGGTCCACTGTCTTGCAGCCCTGACCTGCACAGGCCGATTGGTCCCTGCGCCGTGGGAAAGGCAGGCATTGAGAGAGCACAGCAGGGCAGAGGAAGGTGAGCCGTGTGCCTTACAGACCCCTGGAAGGCTCACCCCGCCGCCTGGCTGTGTCCTTCCTCAGGCCGCTGCCCTGAGAGAGGGGCGGCACCAGACTCAGCGTCCTGTGGAGGAGGAGCATAGGGAAGCAGCTAAGAGCTCAAACTGGGTCCAGGTACCACCCCCACACCCTGGCCCTGCCGTGTTGGCTCTGTGGCTGCTGTTGGGAGTCGGGGATCGGGGATTTCGCATATGGATCCGGGGATTAGGGATAAGGAGTCCAGGTCCTGATCCCTTCAAGAGCCCTCTGGGAGGGATGTTCTGGCCTTTTGGGCCTCCCAAAGCATTGGCCAGAGGCTGTCCAGTGCGCCCATACCTCCTCTGTGGGAGAGGCTCTCCCTTTTGAACACTCCCTGCAGTATGGATGGCAGTGTCCTAAGTCACCAAGTGCCCTTTCTGTTTGGGCAAAAGTTCTTCCCTCACCTCTTTCTTCCACATTTTAACAAAGGGGCTGAGCCACTCCCCAGGGCTCTGCCTGAACTCCCAGCTAAACACCTTCCCCTGCAGGTTTGCTTGCCACAGAGCCTCAGGGTGCGGTCAGCAGGGCCTTCTCACCCTGTCCCCTTTCTCCCAGTTTCCACTAACAAGTGGCTCATCTGCAGCCTTAACCAGCAGGGCCTTTAAGTCCACATTTCCACCTGTGCCTACGCATGCCAGTTTAGGGACTCAGTGTGGGTTTTCTCTGCCACTCTCCTTGCCACTCTGATTCTTCACCCGCAGAGCTGTTATATCCATTTTTCTTTCTCTTCCTTCCTCTCTTTCTGTTTCTCTTTCTTCCCAGGAGAGCTCCGCCACTGAGCTATATCCTCAGCCCTTTTTAGGTTTAATTTTGAAATGGGTCTTACAGAGTTGTGGAGGCTGGCCTGAAACTTGTGATCCTCCTGCCTCAGCCTCCCTAGTAGGTGGGATTGCACGTGTGGGCACCACGCTTGACCTGTTACATCCACAGTCTCTACTGATTCTGTTAGAGGCACTCAGATGCTCCTGGCTGCAGCCTGCTGCCTGGTCCCCAGCCTCTGGAGCTTGTCACAGCAGCACGCCACTCCCAGTGCCAACATCTCTACTGGTTCAGTATTAGGTTTGCTACTGTAACAAAGCAGTTGCTTAAAACAGTGTGTCTCCTAGTCTGAAAGTCAGAAGCCCACATAGATCTGTGGTCTCTCATGGTGGTAGGTCTGCGTTCCAGAGGGATCCGTCTTTTCTCCTTTTCCAGCTTCTAGAGCCTGCCCCTATTCCCAGGCTTCCCGCAGAAGCCCAGTTTGTGTCTGCTGATGATGGGCAGTCAGTATGGTGGAGCCTGCCCGTCTTTCCAGGCTTCCTCGCCCTCCAGCCTCAGAGCCAGCAGTGGCCACTCTGGTCCTGATGCTCCTTCCTGCCTCTTTGCCGTGTAATGGCCCCTGTGATGAAGCAGACCCATCTTGCAGGACAGGGCCTAATCGCATCACAGCCTCCACCCCTTCCGCGTAACCTGACATTCCTGGGGCCCAGGGATTGGGACATTTTGGGGAGCCACTGCTCTGCCGACCACTTCTGCTGACTTTTCCTTATCTGTAAAAAGGGGTGACCGAGGCATCTACCCAGGTGTTGGTGGGGATCCGGGAGTTCATGTTGGCAACGTTCTCAGAGCAGTGCTTGGGGTGAGGAAGGGCTGTATGCATCTTTGCTAAGTGAGTGACTGTCTCCCAGCCCTGAGCGGCTGGGACCTTAATAACCACCAGCAAGCGTGTCACAGAGGGCACGAGGCTCAGTGGGCTTCCAGTAACTTGCTCTATAAGAAATGCAGAGGTTAGAGGGGGGAAGTGCTGGTAGTTGAGTGACCAGCGTTTGCATGAAGGGCACTCAGCTGACGGGAGACCTGAGATGTCAGGAAGTCCTGTTGGGATTTAATCCCTCTCGGCTTGGAATCAAGTAGAGGCCGAGTGATGATGGGTGTGACCCACAAGAGGCGAAGACCGATTTCCCTTTTTCCTTTCCACATTCCTCTATGAGGACACAGCTTCTCTGTTGTCTCAGCTGGGAAGTGTGAATTTGCACGCGAGCCCAGGGACAATAGTGTTCTTGGTATGAGAAGCCCAGGTCAGATAGATGTGTGGAGACGTCAAATAGAGATGGACCAGCCTTCTTGTCCCTGTAGACAGAGGACAGTGATGAGTGGCCATTGTACCAGAGGAGTTGGGGGACAGATGGCTCTGGAGTTCCTGTGACATAGGGAGGGACTGAGAAAACTGGGGCTGTTTGGTAACTTCGGAACCGTAGGACTGCTTTCAGAATGCTGGAGGGTTGTCCGTGGAAAAGGAACCCAAGCCCTGTTCTGCTCCCTCCCCCTCCAGCCCCTAGTTTTGTTTT